CACACACACACACACACACACACACACACACACACACACACACACACTTGTGCAAGCAGCAAGGGGACTGCAGCAATGCAATCAGAGGGACAGCAGGAGGAGCTCGCTTTGCAGTCCTGGCCTGTAACAACACCCCCCCCCCTCCCGCCCCACTAACTAGAGATGAACTCATGCCAGTTCCATTCTTTGCAAGGAAAACACAACACACGCGAGCGCGTGCACGCGCACCGAGCAGACAGACCGGAGTGGCCTCCGGATCTCTTCCCCCCCACGAGCACACGGTGTAAAGGCCGCCCGCTCCGTCCCCCGGCAAGCCGGAGACTCCAGGCCGAGGTAACGGGGGAGTCGCGCGTCGCCGCAAGGCCGGTCCCGGAGCAGCTCTGCTCCCTGGCTCCCACCCCCGCCCCCTTGCGCGGCGTGCCAAGAGTTTGGAGCACGCGCGCGCGCGCACGCAGACGCGCGCGGTGCAGCGGTAGATCCCTCCGCCACCCTCCTCGCCCCGCTCCCGCTGCCCGACGATTTGGGAAGCGAGGGGAGGAGGAGGAGGAGGACGACGACGAGGAGGAGGAGGGAACTACTTTTCCGAAACTTGTTATGCTGCCCACGATCACGGGCCGCAGTGATCCGTCTGCGGGCCGAGGCTCCTCGGAGGTCCTCCCCTCCCGACCCGGCGGAGGGCCCCGCGCCGCCCGCCGCTCCTCGCCGCCGTGCGCCCGCTCCCGCGTCAGCCCCGCCGCCCCGCCAGCCGCGAGGGACTACTTCGCCTGCCTCTCCCGCGGGCGCCCCCGGTTCGCGCGGCGGAAGGAGCGGGCGGCGTGAGCGCTTCCGCCGCCCCCCTCGCGGCTCCCCTCTCGCGGGCGTGAGCAGCGGGCCGCCGAGCTGCGCGCTGCTGCTCCTCTCGGCCCTCCGCGCCGCCGCTCGGCACCGCGCCCTCGGGCTCGGGCGCTCGGGCCTGCGGACCCCGTCCGAGGGAGCCACCCCCCCTCCTCCCGCTCCTCCTCCTCCTCCTCCCTGAGGGCCGACCGGGCGCGCCGCGCGGGCAGCCGGCGACCGGGCGGGAGATGGTGCGCGGCCCCTCGGCGGGACCGCGCCGCCGCCCGCAGCCAGCGCCGGCTCCCG